CCTCCTCCTCCTCCTCCTCGGCGGCGTCTCCCTGGTGCCCCTTCTTCTTCCCGGGCGAGGCGGCTGAGGGCGGGCTGTGCTTCCGGAGGGCGGCGCGGGGCTTCGAGTGCCGTCCGGGCAGCTGCCGGGCGCAGCTCTTCTCCCCGGGCGGGAACCTGAGCGCCAGCGTGCTGGGCAACGGGAGCGTGCTGCTCCAGTGGGCCTGGCCGCCTCCGGCCTCTCCTCCGCGGGGCTTCCGCCTCTCCTGCTCGTGGGAAGGGCCCCAGGCCGCGCCAGGCCTCCCTTGCCGCTCCGTCCGCCTCGGCGCCGCCTGCCGCGACTACCTGCTCCCCGAGGCCCACGCCGGGATCCGGTACCGCCTCTGCCTCGCGGCCCTCTCCCTGCCGCCTCGGGAGGAGAAAGAAGGCCGCGAGGGCCTCTCCCTGCCGCCGCCTCGGGAGGAGGAAGCCGAAGAAGAAGGCGAGTGCGTGGAGTTCGAGGGCCAGCCCGCGGGGCCCCGCGACATCGTGGTGGCCATGGCCGCCGTGGGGGGCGCCATCTGCGTCATGCTGGTCCTCATCTGCCTCCTCGTGGCCTACCTCACCGAGAACGCGCCCCCCGCCCGGGCCGGGCCTACACCGCCCCCACAAGCCTGACCTGGGGTTGCCATGGCGACGGGGCACTGCGCCATCTTGGAAGAGGACACCCCACAGGGACAGGAGGAAGGCGGCTCCCCTGAGGGAATGGCCCTTACAAGATGGCGCCCTGAGGGAAGGACTCGTGCTAGATGGCGCCCTGAGGGAATGCCTTTTACAAGATGGAGTCCTGAGGGAGTGGCTCTTACAAGATGGCGCCCTGAGGGAATGGCTTGTACAAGATGGCAGCCTGAGGGAATGGCTCTTGCAAGATGGTGGCCTGAGGGATTGACTTTTACAAGATGGCGGCCTGAGGGATTGACTTTTACAAGATGGTGGCCTGAGGGAGTGGCTCTTACAAGATGGCACCCTGAGGGAATGGTTTTACAAGATGGCACCCTGAGGGAATGGCTTTTACAGGATGGCACCCTGAGGGAATGGCTTTTACAAGATGGCGCCCTGAGGGAATGCTTCTTACAAGATGGCAGCCTGAGGGATTGACTTTTACAAGATGGTGGCCTGAGGGAATGGCACCCTGAGGGAATGGCTTTTGCAAGATGGCAGCCTGAGGAATGGCACCCTGCAAGATGGCAGCCTGAGGGAATGGCTTTTACAAGATGGCGCC